AAGATCAGCAGCTGCTTCTCTAAAATTGATTTTTAGGTCCTGATAGATGGTAAAAGATTTCTCCAAAAATGCAAAAGTACAAGAAAATCAAATGTAAGCATGCGTTGCAGAATATTATGAGCACAACATTTTGTTTCACCCATGTTGCCATTCTCACTTGATTGCTCTGACAGTCCTAGCAATTCATCCAGTTTCATGTACAACTTTTACTGCCTTTTCTTTTGCACTCCACCGTGTTTCTTATTCACGCTTGACAGAGATCCATTTGAGGTTATGTCCTCAGCATGACCACGAAATGCAAGATTCTGAGGAGCTAAATATTATGTACAATCCAGCAACTGTCGCAGTACATCTCTCCATTTATTTTTTCCTTGCTGAATTTGCCTTTGCAGCTCATCATCAATGCGACTTTAAAGAAAAATTCGGTGGTCAGTTTCTTTCCAAGCAGCAAATGGCTCACGATGACTGTCACTATTTTCATGGGCATTTAACTTTTCAATTTTTTTTCCATTTAAAGAATCCACCCCGTGTTTTGAAAGCAGACTGACTATCGGTTGTCATACATGTAGATGAAAAAGAAGACAACAAAAGCAGTATGCTGCTTTATATAGAGGTGAATACACCAACCAGGAACAATTGACCTCTTATCCATTCAGAAGGCGTCGTTTGAACCAAAATGCAGTCATAGAACGCCCATCTTCAGCATCAAATGGACCTTCTTTATGCTGAAATTCATGTGCTCCAACTTTAACTATCTCTGTGCGATGTGCATGTGTTACAACTGCTGAGCCTGTTGTATCAAACTTCATAAATCCAATATCCCTGTGTGTTAAAATATTTATTGGGTCATCCTCTTTTAGCTTAGCAACATTAATCTGTGGATTTGTTTCTGACAAAGTGGAATCCTCTTGTTTATTATTATTGTAGCTTTCAACAGGACAGAGAACAGTTCCTTCATTGTTTTTTGGTTTTTTTCAAATGAAATAGCATGTTCACAATCTTGCACTTTGACCTCTTTGCTGCCATCAAAAGGAACAGATGCTGG